ATCAAAGGAGTGACCTGGGGCCTCCCTGGTGGGACACCTGGTTAGACCACAGCACTACAGGCTGCCCGTAGTCACTGCGGCAGGAGTTCGATCCCCAGCCAGGGAGGGAACAGTGCGTCAGACCTCTCCTGTCTCCCGCTGCTCCCCTCAGCAGTGTATTTCAGTCTATCTGCCTGCTCTGCTCCCCACACTGTCTCTGGTGAGCCCTCTTAACCCCACACCTCTGGCCTATATCCCAGTTCTTATATGCATAAATAAATAAATCTTAAAAAAAAAAAAAAAAGAAAAGAAAAGGAAGTGACCTGACTTGGGTGAAGGCAGCGAGAGTGCAGCTCTCATCAATATCCTCCAAGTTGTCAGAACGCAACTGTGAGGGAATTTACAGCTTTGGGGTTAGTAAAATTCACTCATCGGATGCTCGATCTCTTAGACAAAATGCATCAATATCAGTCTTTTTGCTGCTTCTCCAACTGTGCACGGTCATCAGAGCTTTCTCTTCCTCTTGACGGTTCCCCTCTGTTGACAGCATGGTCCTCTCCTGACGCAGCCTCAGAGCCGGGAGGCAGCACCCTGCGCCCGCTGACTCAGCCCTCAGGCTCCGAGTCACAGACACGCAGCTCTCCTGTCTCTCCTGTGAATTCTTCTGCCAGTCCCCATAGCCACATCGTATTGGTCAGAATTCCCCAGAGAAACGGAACCAACTGGACAGACACACATATATCTATATATAGAGAGAGAGTCTAAGTAATTGGTGCCCACGATTAAATCCATTATCATAGAGCAAATCATCAGGCCAGAAACTTCGGCAAGGTGTGCAGGTTGTTGTTCAGAGACCGAATTCCTTTTTCAGGAAGTTTCAGCCTTTTCAGGCCGTCTGTTGACTGCATGAGGCCCACCGCATTACGGAGGGCAATCTGCAAGACTCGGCTACGGACGTAAACATCAAGCACATCTAAAAGTCGCCTTTGCAGCCGTGTCTTGACTGGCATGTGACTGAGCATCCTAGACCAGGCAAATAGAAGCAAAACACATCCTACACAGCCTCATCGTCCAGTCTCGCCAATCCCTCTTTAATCAAGGCCTCAGGATCTGTCCCTCCCCTCTCTCCACCCTCATGGCCACACTTTCTCTGTGGGTCCCAGTGTTACCAGGTCCTGGCCCAGATCGCAGGTCATCAGCGGTCCCCCGGTCCCTTGCAGAACTGAATCCTGGCCAGACCCTGGGCATTTGCAGTGCTTGTCGTCCAGCCTCTGTTCCAAGGGTCTGCAACAGGTACCCTCTTGTCCTGCAAGGAGCTCCCCCCAGATTATCGGACACATCATGCTGGTTCGCTCGTCTATGTCTTCCTGACCCTTAGAATTGCTTTCTTCCTTCAGCTCACCAGCATTTAAGGCTCAACGTAAACTCCATCCTGCCACTGCGGTTTCTTTGCTTAATGCACAAGGGTTTTCTTCTTCCCCAGCCCCATGACAGGATGACCTCCCTCGTTCAGCACCAGTCTGTGACATGTGATCCATGTCATCACTCAGGCCAGGCTCAGGAAGACCCTGACTTAGAAAGACCTGCTTGGCTTAGTGCTCTGATGCTGACGCCTTGAACTTCTCCATGATTTTTTTTAATTGATGGTTCTTAATAGTATGACCACCTAGGAGATATCTCTCTATATATCTGTATCTTCATATATATATATCAGTCTCTCTGTATCAATAGCTAATCTCTATATCTCTCTCTATATATTATTTATTTATGCACACAAAAACAGGGGTACAAGACAGCGATACAGTGGGTGAGAGGATTCACCAGAGACAGAGTGGGGAGCAGAACAGGCAGATTCACTGATATACTCTGCTGAGAGGAGCAGCGGGTGGGTCAGGAGAGGTCTGCCACACCATGTGGGGCAGCTCCCTGGCAGGGGATCAAACTCATGCCGCAGTGACTGTGGACAGTTTCATAGTGCTGCGCTTTAGCCCACTGGGTCACCAGGAAGGGTCTCTCCATGAGTTTTCGATGAGAGTTAATTCCACATTTCCATTTGTAGAGTCCTCTGCATGATGTTGTGGATCTTGGCGAATATCCTAGGTGATCATATTCACTTGAAAGTGTGTTTAAATATTCTGTTTTTCAAACCAGAATACAAACTTTTAGTGGGCTATGTCATGTTTTCAAAACGCCCCTTGGTTAGTGAAGATCTCTGACTATACTAAACATTCAATAGCTGTTTGCTGAGTCTCTTTACCAATGAGCTGAGCGCTGGTTTGCCTGTTACCAGTTGTTCTGTTGGGAAGGTCATGTTCTACCAGGTTGGGAATACATTGATCACCACGGTAGTGATACCAGCGGTCACCTCAAGTCACTGACCCCGGTCTCCTGTGCTGGAGACTTTATATATATATATACCCTTAGGTTTTCCAGAATACAACTGAAATAAGATTAAAACACACATTAGTAGAATTTAAATGGCCTCTTCCTGCCTGTCCTAATATTATTTCAAAATTAACCTAAAAAGCTCCCTTCCTCAGACTTTCCAGATTCTTGATACCAAGGAATTTATTGAGCTTCATCTTAGCAATTCATCGAAGAGAGTGTGTTCAGCAAATTACATGCAACTTTTTCTAAAAGCTTGATTTTCATGTTTTTCTCCCCAGCATCTCCTAGTTCAGCATCCCTCCTCCAGAACCCTGTGGTGTATAGACAGCTGTACCCTTTTCTTTCCACCTCACATACTGGTTAGTGCATTGTTTGCTTTGTTAGTGGTATATTTTTGTTTCCATCATGATGTTTTTAGGCTCCCTGAAGCTCACAAATGCAGGCTCCTGTGTGGAAAAGCTGTGGTATGTTCTTTCCTCCCACGGGGCTCCCTGCGGCCTGGCCTCCAATGGTCCTCTCTAACCACTAGCAGTGAGGAATAGAGAAGCACACATATTTTGACTTCTTAGTCTTTGAAATTCAACCCAAAGTTTAAAATTGCAGAGCACAAATACTGAGAAGTGTTGGTGTCATTCTCTGATTACCACGACGTCATGTATTTGCAATTAGAAAGATGCGAATGGGCCATAGGCTTCTAGATGAATCGTGTCATTGTTAGTTTTTCTTTAAGAGACGGCAACAGATACGGAAGCTGTAACTTAGTATGGCGGCAAGATCAGGAAAACAGATTCTTTGTGAATGTAATTTATTTATTTTTTAAATTATTAGCAATAAAATAAGAATGAGGGGTGTGGAAGTAGATTGCCTGGGTTTGACTTCTAGCTTTGCCACACTACCTCGAAGGTGACCTTACTTATTTGTGTCTCAATTTCTGTCTTTGTAAAATAATGTGATGACAACAGTATTTATAAGAAATGGTTTCTGGGGCCTCCCTGGTGGTGCAAGGGGTTAAGTCTCAGCACTATGAAGCGACTGCAGCCACTGCAGCCTGAATTGGATCCCCAGCCAGGGAGCTGACCCACAAAGAGCAGCAGACCGCTCCTGTCTCACCTGCTGCTCCCCACAGCAGTCAATACTCATGTTCCATTCCCCACTCTCTCTGGTAAATCTCAGTTCCCGCTTCTCTGGCCTACCCCACTTCTTGTGTGCAAAAGTAAATAAATCTTTAAAAGAAAAAAAGAAATGGTTTCTGTGATACTAAATGAACTCCTTCTCTTTAGATGCGTAGAATAATACTCAAAATAGAGACCCAACACTTGAAGCTACTATTTATTTCTCCTACTGACAGTAAATTTAAAGTAGTAAGTGATAAAAATATCTTCATTTGAAAGTTGAAGATAACAGTTACCCTGAGGTTGCTATGACAAATAAGGTATCTATAAAACGAATAGTCATGAAATAGTAGCTTTTGGGGCAAAAAAATGACACAAAGATTTCTTGGACTCATCTCTAAAATCCCTATGCCCAGGGAGTTTAAACTGCTATTAACTATAACACACAGAAGCATGTTTACTTTATGAAGCAAAATATGGCTTGAAATCACTAGTGGCTTAGAATTTCCTCATCAATGTCTGCATTTTGGCCAAGACTGCCAGGGTCTCTCCGACTAGCTCATGTAGGACAGTCTCCACGAATGCCTGGAGACATTTTCCTGGTCTCTAAGGGGGATGTTGGGTGTGTTCTGCACTTTCCCACTATAAATTTCACTCTGAATTTTTTGAGGCACGTAAGATAACTTCATATTTTAATCCTTACATTATACTTACTCCGTATTAAAGAAAACTTCTGTTAAGCCATTTAGATTCTCAAAAAAAAAAAAAAAAGAAAAAAACACTTGTTGGTATACTTGAGCTAAAGGTAGAGGTACTCAAAATTTCATTTTGTTTATACTTCCTCTCATTAGGGACTTAGCTGTTTAGAAAACTCAGCCACTTGATTTCAAAGCTGCCTCTTCTAGACAGATCTGGAGGGTCCAGCTGCATGCAATGTCAAAAGAGCTCAGCTAATATGTAGTGTGTATGGACCTTGTAGCTTGTGTGTGGGACAAGCAATCCTTCCATGCACCCGGGATGGAGAGCTTTGGCCAAGAGAAGATGATGATGAAGGTGATACTGGCTAGAATAAATACATGAAAACTACAAGAGGGTTTAAATATATTTTCAAGATACTTTAATTATTTGCAAGGAGAAAGATGATACCATCTTCATCTTAAATTTTATTATAAAAATAAAACAAATGATTGCTACTATAAAGCATCCTCTATGATTTCATATTTCCCTCAACTCACAGATTATGTGATCCTGAAAACTTGGAATTGGATAATAAAAATATTATAGCACGTGCTAGAAAATCTCAGAGCAGCATCTGAATTACTCAATCACTGACACAATAGCATTTCTATAAGATTCTGACAAGGGAAGATTTTGATTTCATGTTAAATGAAGGTGAATCAATTCAAACCACACAGTTTAAAATAATAAGTGCTCTACGTCCTTTCCCTTATCCAGAGTGGACAAGACTGAACCTTTATGCTGCAGACAGAAATCTGAGTCTGTATAATACAGAAAGTTTACCTGTCCCAGGGATCGCCAGTCCAAACCAGCACTGCCGATGTAAACATGCTGCTTGTCCACAATCCAGAAGGAAGACTGCAGCCGACCCTTGTTGTAGGCTGTCATGTTCATGTAGGTTACCTCAGCTCCTAGGAGTTCAAGCAGATCCCAGTCAGCCTCTGGGTCAAGATCCTGCAATTGCAATCAGTCATCCACCAGCAGCAACAACCACAGTTTTCACTGATCACAGGTATGCAGGGAAGCAAAGTATTTACAGTAACTGGTACACAGAAGACCCTCCACGAGTTACTTTGTTCCCAGAAAAGAATACAAAAGAAAATTATTTTCCCCACATAGAAGCAGAGGAAGCTTGCTCAGTGACTTCTGTAGCAGTATTTCTAATAAGCTCAGCTGGGCACCAACCCCAGATCTATTATTTACTGTCTGGATGGTAAAGTAGGTGGATCATGCACTATTTGGGGTGGAATAATTTTCAGAGAATTTAGTGATCAATCAAAAGATCAGTTACATTTAGTAATCTAGCTGTCTTCAACAAAAAATTGTTCTTATATAATGAGCAGGATAATTTCCCACAAAAAAGACTTAAATTATTCAAATGTTGATAAACTTAGGGTGAGAAATTCCACATGAAAGTTGTTTGTATGTTCATTTGGTTCTGTATCCCACTACTTCCCACTGATGCAATCACTGTCATGAAGTTAGTGTCAATCATTGTTTGATCATCTTACCCAAAATCATTAACATAATCCCTATCAAAATTTCTACACCTGCACCCTCATGTTTATTGTTGCTGTATTACAACAGGCAAGATGTGGAATCAATAGATGACTGGATTAAGAAGATGTGGTACATATACACAGTGGAATATTACTCAGCAATCAAAAAGATAACTTATGCCTTTTGCAGCAACGTGAATGGAGCTGGAAGGGATCATGCTTAGTGAAATGAGCCAGAAAGAGAAAGAAAAATACTGGATGGCTTCACTCTTAGCAAGAGTGTAAGGGATCAGGAAAAAAAAAAAGAGCAATTGTAATAAAGTAAAAGTGAAAAACAATGAACAACTATAAGCCAGAGACATTTATGGAGATGGAAGAGGGGATAGGATCAAAACTGGTGTGGGAAGAGTGCACAGGACTATGGTGATGGCACATGGGTGAATTGGTAGTGGGAAGCCCACGGGAATCACAACTAGGATGAAAAAATGCACAAAGATTGGTGTAAACAATAAATAAATATAATTAAACAAACCTTCCAATGACATTCTTTAAAGAAAGTGAATAAACATTACTGAAGATCATATGGAACCACGAAAGGCCCCAGATACTTCCAAAATACAATAGTGTAAACTGTTAACATAAAAATAATATTAATAAAAATAAAATGTTCGTAAATACCCTGTTCTTGGGAGTTTTAAAATCCAGTACAGTTTGATCAATGTAATTAGTAACATTTGGAATCCAAGAGATAGAAGGCTGAAGTGAACAACAAAGGGTAAAAATCACCTATCACACATAATTCTACTTTAAAATAATTTAGTAAGAGTTACTCAGAAAAAAAAAATCAGCTACTTGTGGAAAAAGTGAACCTTAAGCGTACACTTTAATTACACTCTACATATGTGTATTACTTAGGTTAAGAATTAATGATTAAAGTTCTGTGTCTCTACCGAATCTTTTTCAATTCTTTTTCAATTTCTAACCATAATTATAAAATTGTCTCTTTTTATCCTACCAGTCTAGTTTTTATTATTTGGGAGTGTTCTGATGTCTAAAAATATTATGTTGGCATACCTTTTATTTTACTGACTTTTAAAATCATTATAGAATAGTCAATATATTTTTGTTAATTCTTCTTGTGAAAATCTGTTGAATCAATTTTTTTTGGTTGATATTGGATGCAAGATATTTTTCATTTCTTTTGTTGTCAAGCTTCCCATGACCTACTAAATATATAAGGTGGGCCTGTTGTAAATAATGTATCAGTATATATACTAATTCATTCTGATAATTTTTTTCCTTTTAATTGAATGCTTGGAGAATTTTTAAAAATATCATTACTAATATATTTGCATTTAATATCATTAATACATTTAGAGTCAAAACATCTTGCAATTAGTTTTGTTTATGAAACCCTATATATTAGTGATTATAGAAACTGTTTCTTTGAATTGCTACAGTTACTTGTTCATTCAATTGGTACTTGTTCAAAATCTGAGACAATGCAAATACATTATTCCACTTTTTGGAGTACTTTGTGCTACTTAAATTGACATAATGTAGATTAAAGACACTATTACTATTGTTCTGTTGAGCCAGTATTCACTAATCATTCTTGTCCACTAATTATCCTTTTCTATTTTCCTTTTCATTAAGTTTTCTACATATAGAATTATGTTTCTTCCTGTAGAGTCCACTTTTACTCACTTCTGTGTTTTCTATCCAGTTTCTTGTCAGTGATAGGCCTCTATCAATATGTTCTGTTGGCTAACAATTCACTAATTCTCTCTTCTGTTGTGTCTAATTTGCAATCTGGAATTCTAAATGGTAGTTTTATATTCATCATTTCCAGAATTTCCATTTTTTAAATAGAATGTATTTTCTTGTGAAATTACCCATTCTCTTATCTAATTTCTTAAGCACCTAATTATACTGATGACAGAGTTGCTATCTGATATCTAGACCTATAGATTCTTTTTTAGTGTCTTTTTTCTCCAACTGGATATAAATTGTTTGTACATTTACTTGCCTTGTAATTTCTGACTGAGTAGTAGAACTTGCATAGAAAGTTCTATTTTTTTTGTCTCCTCAGTTCAGTGATATTTTGGCGAAGACTGCTTTCTGTTTGATCTCAATCCTCTGATACTGTAATTCATAAATGCCTCAAAAGAAAAGTTGGTAGAGAATAAAGGATTAATCTTAATAAATTTTCTTCTCTCAGATGTAGGCTTCACAAGGGTGAATTCTTTAATTGCTCTCTGATACAGTCAAATAGCTTTCTTTTGTATGATTGCATTTTACCCAGCTGTCAGAGTTCTCTGCAAGAAGAATAGTCTCAAAGTCTGTGATTCTAGGGGCATCGATTCATTTGCAGTCTTCTGAAGGGAAGCTTGTTTGATCTGATTTAGTTCTCCTACCTTAGGGCTAAAAGTGCAGCAGGTGTTCGTGTTGTAGTTTGCCATTTCTAAACTACTTTTTTTCATCTTTCCAATGCTAAGCTATTTCGAAATTCATGACAGTCGGCCATATCACTCACTGCCTCTGCTGGCTGCTGGGCTCCCTAATGTCTTGGTTCTCTGTCATTTATTAACACCATAGTTAATTCTGCCCCCTCCTCATTAACGTCACTTTTGCATTACTGCCACTTGGACCACCATAGGACCACTCATTCAATAACCCTTCTTTACCTTCATAGCTTCATTGATATTTTCTGTTTTTCGTTAGCAACCCATTCCCACAGTGTGTTAGATTTCATTCTACCAGTCACTAGCTATGTATTTGAAGTGTTGACCTTACGATTTGTTTTCTGAATTCTGCTTCCTATTCTTTTAGATCACTTGCATTACGCTCCTCAATACCTATCATCAAGGTTTCAGGTCACTGACCTCACCACATTGTTATTGCCACCACATAGCTCTTGTAACTAACCCCTCTTCATCTAGTTTGGACCATGGTCATTTTTCTCTCTGTGTAACATTTTCCTGATAAAGTCTCAACCTCAAGTGAATCCAGTCTTTTGCCTTTCCTACTCTTACAACAGAATAAATGTTGCTGCAGAAAATCTCACAATCAGAGATAAATTGAATATTAAAATCAAATAATGTAAGATCTGCTACATGTATAATTTACAAAGCTATGCTGAGGGGAGCAGGGATGAGAGAGGACGAGTCTGCTGTACCCTATATGGGTCAGCTCCCTGGCTGGGGATCGAACTCTGGCAGTAGTAGTGATAGCCCTGAGATTTAACCCCTAGGCCACCAGGGATGCCAAAGCATTTGTTTTTAATCTGCAGCACTGCAATAACATGTCAATTCATAGCGTGTACTTTTTAAATTGTAAAACTAATATGTAATTGCCTTAAAACTGTAATTTTTTAAATAACAGCAGTATTTCCATTTCCTGATCATAGTATGGGTTATGAATAGGTTCTAACTTTTTTGAACATCTAAATCTTATAACAAATTCAGAATGAATTGTTTTCCATTTGCAATCAAATGTATTTATAATTTCACCTGATATGGTATGTCAGCTTAGGGTTGCATAGGGAATGTCTTAGGGTAAGAAAATAGTCATGGAGGCCATTCTTTATGACAGCATGGGAAACTAGGGGATACACTTAATTTGTACTCCATAACCTAACATTTCATATGATTATGTACCCCTGCAGAAGAGCTTCAATAACAGCCACCCAAGTTGCTCCAAAGCACTCATGATGTAGCAAAGGTGATTCGGAAAGACTTGGTTCATGGTCACAAGCAGGAGACGTACTTGGGTGTAATTAGGAGACAAAGCAAGACAGTATTGCGTTGTAGAATCAGTTGCACAGCTTAGATGCTGACAGGAATTCACATGTGGAAATAATCTCATCGTACACTTGAGTTCAAAAGAACAGATTAACTCAGCCAAGTTTAGATTTTACTTTTTAAAAGATATATTTATTTGTGATTACAGAATTGGGGTACAGGCCAGATTTGTGGTGGGTGAGAGGATTTAGCAGAGACAGAGTGGGGAGCAGAACAGGCAGATTGACAAAGTAAACTGCTGAGGGGAGCAGCAGGTAGATCAGAAGAGGTCTGCCACACAACTCCTTGGCCGGGGATTGAACTCATGTTTCAGTGGCTTCTGAGAGCTTGTTAATGCAGTGCTTTAACCCACTGCACCACCAGGAAGAGCCCCAAGTGTCGATTTTAAATAAGAGCAGACACTCTCAAGTTTCTTGTAGACTCATGGATTTAGAGAACACTGAAGAGATAGGAAGAATCTGGGTGTGATTTCTACCAGCTATTGAGAAGAAAGATCTGGGGAATATCCTTTCAGAGAGCAGGCTATCAAAAGCTCAGCATAGCTCACCACTGTTCTGAGATTTCAGGGGTGTTCATAGATGGTCAACTATGTCTGCTGAATACATATAA